CACTTAAAAAACAAAGTAAAATCTCTGATTATTTTAAATAATGTAGTATGTATTTTATACTTTGGTATCTATAGGATGTATGTTCCTATTCACAACGAGTTTTGTTATAGAATATACTTATTCTTACTTAAATCATATTTGTTTAAGATTTTGCTAATAAAAATGTTTTATTTTATTCGTTTTTTTAAAATATATGTGTATAAAAAATCAATATCGCAAATCGCGATAGTCCGGAATTTTTATTAATCCGGATTAACCTGTGCTTTAATTGATCCGGATTATCGAGTCTTTAAGGTAAGCGCGCATTTATTCGCATCGGACGGACGTATCGGACACAGGGAACGGACGAAAATTATTATTTGCCTTATTTTAAATGAGACAACGCACATACATACGTATCGGACGCATCGTAGACACGGAAATCCGTTCAGAATTATTAGAAAAGAATTAAATCCGTATATACGATGCCTGCGGATGACGTCGTTCGTAAATTCGATGAAATGCGCGATGTAAAAAGAAATCGACTTGCAGAATTTGATTTGTTTTTAACGTTATTTTGAGCAGGTGCCTAAAAGAGTGAAAATGGATGACGGACTATTAATTTCTTTAGTGCAACAATAAAATGAACTTTATAATTTGAAAACAAAGAGTACAGTAATCAGCAAGGACCCCAAAATATATGGGAGGAAATTGGGCAGATAATGAAACAACCAGGTACGTAGACGCAATATAATAGAATAAATCTGTAACATATAGGTATATTTAAAAAGCAGAAAAATCAGTTTAACATCTTTTTAAAAATACGGTTCATTATGGATGGGCACATTATGGACCCAAATTCGTTCTTTTTTTTCTTGTTCCTTTGCTCTTCCTCTTCAAATGCACATGCAGTTGCAAATCATAATTCTTCATCAGAAATACTACTCATTTTAAATTTGGGAAGCGAACGTGAAAAACAGAAGTTTTGTATTAGCCCGCTTCGAGGATTGCACTAAAATGAAAATGCGGGAAGAAAATCCGAATATAATATGCGATAATAACAAATATATTGCGATTCGTCCGATGCGTCCGTTGCGTCCGGTGCGAACAAATGCGCGCTTACCTTTACTGTATATATAATTGCATAAACAAAAACAAAATTAACTTCTCACTGAACACTCTTGCATCCTTGGCTATAGTCTGTCCAACGACAAGATCCTTGACAGTGATAGATGTGTCTGTCATTTTAATTTCAAAGTAGTTTATTTCATTTTACAAAGTAATAAGTTGGTACAAATGGAACTTTATATATAAAAGCGGTCGATAAAAGAGTAATTAATACAATTTTTAAATTAAAAAACGCAAAAAACAAGCGTCGTTACACAATGGAAATAAGATTATTACGTATGATGAAAATGAAAAGTTGGTTTCCATTGAGCTTCATTCAGAACCTCCCGATTAGTGGAATAAATTAATGATTTCAATTACACTTTATACTTTTTAGTTTACGATCTACGAATTAAAATTAATAAAATATCCTAGCAACAGCTTGCGGTAGTCTGTTGTATCCATGAAAAAGAGATGAATTAAAGTGCAAGAGAATGAGAAATCTTAATATTTAGCTTATAATATAATAAACTTTTGATTTCTAACCAACATTTTTCTTGACGGGTGATAATAATAATAATAATAATAATAATAATAAGAAAAGATGATCTCTCAGATCTCTCGAAACAACGGAACAGCAAATAAACAATCCACCATCAATTACAGAAGTAAAAAACTTCTGGGAAAATATCTGGTCACAAGCAGTAGAACACAACAGAGAAGCTCAATGGATAACAGAAGAAGAAAACAAGCAGATAAATACAACAGCCATGCCAAATGTAACAATCACCTTAGAAGACATCAAAGCTGCCATATCCAAGACACACAACTGGAAAGCACCTGGAGACTACAAAATACAGAACTACTGGCTAAAATCATTCACAAGCATCCACAAACCACTAACGAATATATTACAAAATTTTGTACAAGGAACGGAAGCCATCCCCTCTTTTTTAACTCAGGGAGTTACCTACCTTAAACCCAAAGGCACGGACACTTCACCCCATCTAAGTACAGCCCTATAACATGTTTATCAACAACCTATAAATTACTAACGGCAATAATAACAACAAAGATCAACACTCACCAGCAGAATAATAACATCATATCAGAAGAGCAGAAAGGATGCTGTCAGGGATCTAGGGGCTGCAAGGAGCAACTGGTGATAGATGCAGAAATACACACTCAAGCCAAATTAAAACGTAAGTCTCTACATTTTGCATACATAGATTATCAGAAAGCTTTCGACACCGTCCCACACTCCTGGTTCATACAAGTTCTACAAATATACAAAATCCACCCTCAAATCATACAACTTCTGCAGAGAATAATGGCAACATGGAAAACTACCCTAAACATCAAAATGAAAAAACAACTCATCCACACAGGACCAATTCAAATTAATAGAGGAATTTTTCAGGGTGACTCCCTCAGTGCACTCTGGTTCTGTATTGCGCTCAACCCCCTATCGAACCTACTCAACAAAACGCCCCAAGATGCTTATAAAATATCCTCACTCACACATTCATCTACCATCTCGCACCAGCTATATATGGATGACCTAAAGCTTTATGCAGCAACTAGAAAACAACTCAACAACCTTCTCAATATTACAGAAACATACAGTGAAGACATCCAAATGAAACTGGGAACAGATAAATGTAAAATAAACAGCATTATAAATGGAAAACACTCGATACAGGAAGAATACATTCTACAAGACTCAAATATCATACAGAATATGGAAATGGATGAGACATAAAATACCTCGGATACCTACAAAAAACAGGATTAGAGCATGCCAACATAAAACAGCAACTAAAAAGCAAATACAAAAACAGAATAAAACAAATACTCAAAACAGAACTGTCCGGTCGAAACAAAGTGAAAGCAATAAATACCTATGCAGCGTCCGTCCTGACGTATTCATTTGGCGTTATAAAATGGAGTGACACGGAATTAGAAGAACTAAACAGGTTAACAAGAACAACATGTAACAAGTACCGAATACACCATATACACGCGGCAACAGAAAGATTTACACTAAAAAGAAAAGAAGGAGGAAGGGGATTTATGGATCTAAAGAACATGAACTACAAGCAAATACACACACTCAGAGAATATTTCAGAGAAAAAGCAGTTACCAGCCCACTACACGAAGCATTGTTAACCTAACAACATCAGGTACACCGTTACAATTCAACAATGAAGCATTCATACCAGTTGATGCAATTACAACAACAAAGACTAAAATTGAAAAATGGAAATCCAAAGCCCTACATGGAAAACATGCAAACCAACTAACACAACCACACATTGACATAGCAGCATCCAATGCATAGCTTACTCATGGTAACCTGTTTGGAGAAACCGAGGGTTTCATAATAGCAATCCAGGACCAGATCATCGCCACACGTAATTACCAGAAATACATAATCAAAGACCCCAAAACACCTACAGACAAATGCAGACTATGTCACACACAAACCGAAACAATAGAACACATAACCGGGGGATGCCCTATACTTGCTTCCAGACAATATACCCAAAGACACGACGATGTTTGCAGAATAATCCATCAAGAAATAGCAAAGAAATATTCACTCATCTGCTACCATACACCATACTACAAATATCAAGCAGCTAACGTTCTAGAAAATAAGACAGCCAAGCTCTACTGGAACCGGGATATAATCACAGACAAAACCACACCACACAACAAACCAGACATCACGCTCATCCACAAACCAACCAAAACGACATACTTAATAGAGATATCCATACCAAATTCACAAAATGTCAAGAAGAAACACACTGAAAAAATTGAAAAATATATACCTCTAGCAGAAGAAGAAATAAGGCAGATGTGGCACCAGGACATTGTAAAAAATTATACCAATAATAGTGTCATCAACAGGACTGATCCCAAAATCATTACATGATAGTCTGAAAGGCCTTGAACTTGCACCAAAACTTTATATACCCATTCAAAAAACAGTTATCCTCCACACATGTAATATTACACGACAAGTCTTAAATACACAGTAAAAAGCGTTGACGCTTGACTTAAGTCCGCGACTACGTTAAATACCGGAAAGCCCGAGATTCAAGAACATAATAATAATAAGAAAAGATGGAAGAAATGGACGGGATAGATAACAATAAAATGAAGACAAAAATCTCAAAAGAATACTACCGGCGAGTAAGGAAGATATTAGGTACAGAATTAAACGCAACGAATAAAATAAAAGCGATTAACACATTAGCTGTTCCGCTCATGACCTATAGTTTTGGTATTGTTGATTGGCCAAGAAGCGAGCTTGGAAAAGTGGATTGTAAAACTAGGAAGCTTCTCACTATAAGTGGCTTACATCACCCAAAGGCCGATGTGCATAGGCTGTATATTAAACGACGAAATGGTGGACGAGGGTTAATAGAAATTGAGTCGGCTTTCAACTCTGCTATCACAAGTCTGAGCAACTATATCGATCTTAACAGAGATAAATACTGCAAGGCAATAGCAACCCACGATGAAAAGAAGGCGAAATACTCTCATTCTAAAAGAAGCTATCAATATCTCAGCCAAATTCTCTAAACAAGAAACAACTACACATAAAATATTGAAAATTTAAAAACATAGTATGGAACGAAATAAAATAGAGAGTTTAGAACAAAAGCGTTTGCATGGACAATTCTACCGAAATCTACATAAACCGACAGTCGATCGGGAAGGAAGTACAGCATGGTTAAGAAGTTCGGGACTTAAAGGAGAAACAGAGAGTCTCATCATCGCCGCTCAGGATCAAGCACTTAAGACCAGATATATTATCAGAAAACATCCTAAAACAATCTATAGACAGCAAATGTAGAATGTGCAATAGAGCAGAAGAACATATCAGCCATCTGGTAGCTGGATGCTCCACACTTGCTCCGACAAATACACCCATAGACATAACAAGGTTGCAGCATACATACATTGGATTATATGCAGAGAGTTAGGTGTACAGGTGCAGGACAAGTATTATGAACACGTTCCCGAGAAAGTTCTAAATATAAACGACACTGTAGTCCTATGGGATGTACCAATTATCAGAGACCGAACAATATTAACCAACAGGCCGGACCTGGTATTCCATGACAAGAAAAACAGTATCTGCCTCCTGATCGACGTGTCTGTTCCAGACGACAACAACATATCAGCGAAAGAAGTAGAGAAGATCAGCAAGTATAAAGATCTTGAAATTGAAATCAGCAGAATGTGGAACACGAAGACGAAAGTAGTCCCAGTAGTAGTTGGTGCACTGGGTATGCTTACTAAAGGTCATAGTAATTTCATCAAACTTATACCTGGCCACCCATCAACGAACGAAGTACAGAAGATAGCTTTGCTGGGAACAGCACACATACTCCGAAAGGTGTTAGGGTGAATACCTTAGGTCTCTTGTTGAGACCCGGATTCACCTATTACCGCCAATTAAGAAGGCGAGAAGAGAATGGAATGAAATAATAATAATATATAATACTTGCTTCCAGACAATATACCCAAAGACACGACGATGTTTGCAGAATAATCCATCAAGAAATAGCAAAGAAATATTCACTCATCTGCTACCATACACCATACTACAAATATCAAGCAGCTAACGTTCTAGAAAATAAGACAGCCAAGCTCTACTGGAACCGATATAATCACAGACAAAACCACACCACACAACAAACCAGACATCACGCTCATCCACAAACCAAAAAACGACATACTTAATAGAGATATCCATACCAAATTCACAAAATGTCAAGAAGAAACACACTGAAAAAATTGAAAAATATATACCTCTAGCAGAAGAAATAAGGCAGATGTGGCACCAGGACATTGTAAAAATTATACCAATAATAGTGTCATCAACAGGACTGATCCCAAAATCATTACATGATAGTCTGAAAGGCCTTGAACTAGCACCAAAACTTTATATACCCATTCAAAAAACAGTTATCCTCCACACATGTAATATTACACGACAAGTCTTAAATACACAGTAAAAAGCGTTGACGCTTGACTTAAGTCCGCGACTACGTTAAATACCGGAAAGCCCGAGATTCAAGAACATAATAATAATAATAACGAAATAAAGGAACAGTGGAGACAAGAAAAAATTACCATAGTACCAGTTATTATATCCACCACAGGAGTGATTCCAAAAAATCTCATAGAAGCAATAAAAATACTAGACCTCCCATCAAAAATATATATAAACCTGCAGAAAACGACCATACTTAGTACGTGTAACATAGTTAGCTTTGAATAAGAAGACTAAGGAAGGAGCATATTAAAAATCTTAGGTACACCGCGATGGGCCTCAAATATTGCCGACTTAAATTCCGGTTTATCAGTGTCGTTCTAATTTTATTTAAAAAATGTAAAACTATGATGTAGGGTAGACGTACATCACGGGGTAGATTCAATAATTTGTTGTTTTATTTTACGTTGTGAATAAATGTTGGTAGTTATTAAAATTGTTATAAAAATATATAAGTTATAATAAGTATTTATTACCACAAACATCCGATACGCTACTGAAGCAGGTAAGTCAAATTAACGTATCTAAATTCTTTGACATCTAATCTATGACAAGTAATAAATAAAAGCTAAAATGCAAGAAAAATATATAATTTAGTTAATTTAAGTGAATTTCATAAATGATCGGTTTACTACACGTATGTATATTATATAGTCACTTACTAGCGAAAAGTTGTTCCATTATTTCACTCAATTTTTGCCGAGATCTACCGCACGCTACGCAACCAACTATTTTAGAGTCTTTTTCGATAAATCGCGATAGTGTCACTGTTAATTTAAGTTCTGCCACAATTTCCATCTAGATTTACTACCTTTATACAACTATCAGTAGTAGAATAAATAATAAATAACATAAAATAAGCTCCATAAAGATTGACAAATCCACAAAATTTCAAATCAAATTCAAATGTGTCAAATGAATCGTCAAACAGAACTGTCAAGGATCCCCACCCTAGAGAGCTTTTATGGTGCCTTTTCCGCCCACCATGCATGAATACATGGGTAGCATTATGCTCCTTCCTTAGTCTTCTTATTCAAAGATAGTTTGATTTGGTTTGAAATGTTTAGGCTAAAAACAGAATCTGACAGATTTATGCCGTAAAAAGCCGATTTGTTGGTCATTACCGACTAACGCAGTGACAGTCATGAAAAGAAAGAAATAATATATAGTTTATTGAATACTAACAACACATGTCTACAATTCATACAATACAAAATCATAGTTTTTAGTACTCAAATGGATACTGGAATCATTTCAAAAATGTTCTAGTCCAGATCCATAAAAAATATATTATATCCATTCACTTATTGTACTGTGTTCTTAAATTCATAATTACAATTCTAAACTTAGTTTACCCTAATATAAACTATAAAAAAAAACATAAGCATATAGTATATGATCAAAGACGGGAGAAGCGGAACAGCATAGAAACAAAAGGTATCAATGAAATAAGGTTTGGGTAGGCACTCCAGCCGGAACAAACTATAAAGCCTTACTTAATAATGACTTGTAGGAAAATTTGAAAGATTCAGGTGAAAGATTTCTTAAATAGTCAGGTACCAAATTATAGAGCTTGTATATGTTATAAGTAAACGACCTCTGAAATATTTGTGTTCTATGAGCAGGAGGCGAGATGCGACCTCCAAATCGAAGGTTGAGATTATGAATGTCGGTCCTATATGATATTTTCTGCACTAAATAGGGAGGGCAGTTATTAAATATAATTTTGTGAAACAATATAACTGAGTGAAGCTTGCGTCTCTCTAACATTGACATCCATGATGCACTTTGCAGCTTATGAGATATTCGCGAGTATTTTCTAATTGCGTATATGAAACGGAGACGCGAGTTTTGTGCTTTTTGTATACGTCTTATATCAAACTGGTCTAAACATGGCCCATAAACCGCATCAGCATAATTAAAATGTGAAAGAACAAGTGAATCGGAGAGTGCAATCTTGAGTTTCTCTGACAGAATATGACGATGAGGAAACAATAGTTTTAAATCAGTATACGCTCTTTTGAGGCATTTAGTAAAGTGAGGTTTAAAGCGTAAATTGCTATCAAAAGTAAGACCCAAATTTCGAGCTACATCAACACATTGGAGAGTACTATATTTTATTTTTAATTCAAAATCAACAGAAATTGTTTTATTATTTTTTTCCAAACACCATAAAACACGATTTACTTGGATTGATATTTAAAAGATGCGCTTCCGAAAACTTACTTAGACTTTCCAAATCCGTATTTAGAAATTTTGAAGCATCGGTCGATTTATCAGGATTAAATGACATTACTAATTGCGTGTCATCGGCATATAATTGGCTCATGCTATATTCAATATACTGAGATATGTTGCAAGTATACATGCTATATAGAAGAGGCCTCAATATAGAACCTTGCAGTACGCCACTATCAATATATAGAATCTCAGATTTTCCTTTATTTGTTTCCACATACTGTCTTCTATCCGCTAAGTAATTGCTTAACAACAAAGTGGCACCCTCCGAAAATCCTAAGTAATGCAATATCGAAACTAAAATTTCATGGTTAATTTTGTTAAAAGCCTTAGTATAATCTAAAAGTACCATTACTGCTGTTTCACCCTTATCTATAGCTCTAAAAATCTCATCTGTGACATTGAGCAAAGCTGTTATACAGCTGTAACCCTTGCGAAATCCCGATTGACTAGCTAGAAAAAGATTATTTTGGTTCAGATGATCTGTTATTTGTAAACACATAATCCCCTCCAAAATTTTTGATAAGATTGATAAAATGCTTATTGGCCTCATGTCATTAAACGATGTTGGGTTTGTTATCTTAGCGAGAGGAATCGCTTTTGCTATTTTCCAGCAATCTGGAAATTGAGATTCAAATAAGCATGAATTGATTATATTTGTTATGAAAGGTACTATTCTGTTTAGACATAAGAGCAGCATATCCAGTGAAATTTCATCCACACCGGCTGCTGATGATTTTATATTAATAATGCTGTCCTTAACTGTACTTTCTGTTACAGAACAAAACTCAAATAAATTCAATAAATTCGGATGCGTCTTGTTTAAATAAGAGTTTATAACGTTTTTGTCCACTGAAATAGTATTAGTAGAGAATGCTGAAAATGCTTTATTGATATCATCAGGAACATTAGTAAATCAGGGATGGTATTATTAGAACTAGTAGCATAAATGTTCAATTCTCTAAATTTTCTCCACAATAATCTCTGATTGAACTTAATTTTTTCGAGTGAAGCTTCAAAATATTGTTTTTTTTTCATAATGTATAGCTCTATTCTTAAAATTCCTCAGTTCCTTGTAATAATTCCATTTAGACTTAGACCGATCGTTATTGAAGGCGTTATAGGCTTTATTTTTTAATTTGACCATTTGTTTAATAGTATCAGTAAACCATGGCTGCCTCCTTTTTTCAATTATTTTATCGCGTTTGGGAGCCAAAACGTCAAATAAGTTTAACAACATTGTATTAAATAAATATACTTTTTGATTAATATCAGTCAAATTTACAATATTTTCAAATGGAGTGAGAGCCAACAGATTCTCTCTCTCTCTCTCTCTTTCCAGCAAATCCTTATCAATACTTTTTAAATAGTGGAATATAACTTTTGTTTTTGATACACTCGTATCACCAGCCAACTCACAGCACACCACTGCATGATCAGACACCCCCTCCCCGAGATCCTTTATATCTGCTATCTAATAAATTTATATTTAGATCACTCGAGGCAATCTACAAATGCATCAAAGTTTGAAAAGCCCGGTGTTCTGTACAGTGAACCAAAAAAAAATTGCTTGCGATCCAGCTCTACCTTCACCCATACCTCCTCTAATATTTCAGAACAATTTGCTACCAGCAACTCACATTTTAAATTTTCTTTTACATAAATACCCACTCCGCCGCCAGTATCACTAGATCGTTCTTTATGAAGTAGAATGTATTTGTCAATTTTATAGTATTCATCTAAAGCGCCGTTCGCCAACCTAGTTTCAGAAACTCCTAACAAATCAAAATTACAAACAGAAAGCAAATCTTTCACAGCTGATAAGTGTCCCGTCAATGATCTAACATTAAAAAAAGCAAAAGAAATATTTTTCATCTATGTCTGAAATATACAATAGAAAAAAAATCTTACAGTAACAGAAGATAGTCCCCGACATTAGTTAACATTAGTTAAAATATCATCCTCAGTTTTCAAGTGTACAACCTTATCTCCTATGCGTGTAAAAATATTCCCTTGATTGAACCAAACTTGCTTATTTCCAATTTTCTCCTTCGCCAATGCAAGTATTGCTTGTCTAGATTTAGTAAGTTCTTCAAAAATAACTATTTTTGTTC